ATGGTGAAAGGGAATATGAAAAGCAGTTCATCCGATCGATGCAAGGTTCAGTAATTAATCGGACCGAAAGTATGACCTGATTGTCATTATTACACTTAAAACATTACTCACTAATTGTGAATGAAAATCGAAGATAATGAATATTTGATAATATTCGATCGATATGATCATTATCCCATTTGTGGTTTATTTTTAAGAACTGTATTCATATCACGCAGCATATTTGCATTTCATTTTATGAATTTGATCAATTTGAAGGAATTTATGTCATCATTGCAAGGTAACGATATCAATGTTCAGTCATGTTTATAATCGTAATTAAGGAAGAGAGTCCCGCAAAGAAGGATATGGATTAATGTCTGTTGTGTTGGATATTCTATCGGACATCCGCAATCTGATGCCAACGCTTCGATCGATTGATAAGCGCGTCATTAAAGGAATGCCCTTCTTCACAAGTACCTGTGCTCTGGCCCAATCGCTCGCACAACTCGATCAAATCGTTTCAATACTCTCATCGAGTCGTATCACTTCATCAGATGCCGAATTTCGTGTAACTGAGGTACGACGAACACATCAAATATTCGATATGATCATTCTCTCGTTGACCTCTTATGTTCTGTCATATTTTCTTACTTCTTATTTCTCATCTTATAATGTTCAGAAGCGTTTTTGTGATCATCTTCCGAAACCTTTGGTTTCGAAAAAAAATTCCGAATGAAAGCGAAAGAAAAAGAAAGAAAAGAATTATGAAAATATAATCCTTGATGCATTTTGTTCAGTAGTTTTACTCGTAATCTTTGTTTTATTGTTCTGAACTAAACTTTCCTTAGTGAATATTATCGCTGCATTGATCCTTTCAGGTTGCGAACGAATTGATTCATCTTTCAAAAGTTTTCGAGTCGTGGTTGTCCCATTTTGAGGTAACAATTAATGTTGTAATTGATCGATCACGTTGCACAATAATTTCATTCAGTGACATTGCATTCGTTTTTAACGGTGGTTCAAAAGTATCACTGAATTATTGTGAGAATTAAAGCGCACGAAATGATCTGAAGGAAAATCTCAGAAAAATCTCAAGTCTCAATTTTCAAGTTTCGACAGTTTCAAAAGGATTGAAAAGTAAACTGATTGAATGAGACTTTTTTGCAGTGATTTTTATGTTCTTTAAGGATGAGGATGATGATGAGATCAGAAGATTGATTCTTGATAGTGCGCATAGGATGTTTCCACGAATTGTTACAGCCGTTGGGGAGGCATCGTTCTGGTTGGATGAAAGTTTCAGCCAACGGAATTTGCCACAAGAGGTTGTCATTG